ACATTAAAAAAAAGTTCGTCTCTTCTTTGAAACATGTCACCTTATTCTAAAATAACCATATTCATCCCAGCTGGTACTCAAAGTTTTAGAGTAAGAATTTCTCTTTCCTACTAGAAAATGCAGTCACTCAGGCAGGCAATCACAGCATTGGGGTGTTTCATTTTGTTAAGATGGGTATAAATTTATTTTATAAGCTGCTTTACCTATCAAATGACAGGAGGTCCCTTATCATAAACACCACTGAAATTTTATTATGTGAATGAGTGGTTACTAGTTTGGTTTTTTTGTTTACTCTAAACAAATTAAAGAATTTGGAAATCCTGACCTGAAAGCATTTCACACTTTCACAAGTGCTTAATTTTAATTGTGCACGTAATCCAAATGAGTCCAGTACTACTCATACACTTAAATCTAAGCACATGCATAAGTGTTAGAAGGACTGGGCTTTAATATAGCACAAAAACTAATGTCTAGTTTTTCAGCATTAAAGTTAATGCCATGTTAGATTCATTTTTCTAAGAGAAGTCATTCTATGAAAGAAATTATAAAAATAAATTTGTATCTAACATATATTTTAACTGAGACATATACTGATATATTTAATATTTCTAAGTATATCTATTACAACACATAATATTTCTAAAAAGTACTGAGTCATGTAAGGGACCTGACACACGACCTCATAGAAGAAACCCTTAGAGAGAGGGCTACTGAGGGAGGAAAAATTTGGAAAACTCTGATTTCTGGCAGCCTGTCCCCTGGTGCAGGAGCTTCCCTTCGCTTAGCAGAATAAAATCTCTGCTTCAGAATTTGTTGACTTCAGGGAATTTCTGCGAAAGAAATCTCTCCATGGAGGCATTTAACCTCCCTGCACTGCACCACGGGGAAAACCCAGGAGCCCTCCCTGACCAGCTCTGCTCTTGCTGGCCCACAGACGGGAAAGGCCAGGTCACCCCGTGCTGAAGCTGCGTGTTCTGCCTTCACCCTAACTCAGACCTCTTCACAAGCACATGCTGGGGAAACAATGCCATCCCAAACAGCATCCGTGGGTTTCCCTGGGTATTTCCTAACAGAGCTCATGTTCCTGGCGGGTCTGCTCATCGTAACTGTGGTAGTGGTTTGACACTAACATCCATGCTCCCAAATCCCTTGGCAGCTATAGAGGAGGTTCCCTGTGGTCTCCTGTCTGTTCTGCAGTGGGATACAGCAGCAGCCCACGCTGCTCCACCCAGACCATGGGAGGACAAGGCCACTGGGGCCTCATCCAGGTAAGCAATGGGATGAAGTTCTTTTCATCGCTATTGGCATGGGTATGTATTTCCAATTCTGTTTTCTGCTGCTACTTCAGAGTAACATATTATCAGTTATCACCATGATAGCTATTTTTATTCCAGGAACATTGGGCCTCGTTACAAGGTATATATATATATACCCTGAAAACTCAAACAAATGAATATCAGCTAATTTTTCTCTAATTCAGAAAATAATTTAAATCTTGATAATCTGTTTACTTTTACATGCTTTCTAAAACCATAATGATTTTCTATGCTAAATAATTTTCTGTGAAGATTTTGGTTTGGGAGCTCAGCTTTAACAACAAGCTAAAAACAACAAAACCCAGCCAACCTGTAAGGGCAAGCAGTACTTGCAAGATTTTATCAGTTACTTCCAGAAAATGCCCCTTGGTGCCTATTTCACTCTGCTGTTTTAAGTTAATTTGCAAAGCTTTGACAAGGAACAAAGGTTAAATACTTGGAATTTGCACAGGTTGTATGTCATTGCAGAATGCTAAATAAATGTTACAAATAAATGGTAGTACCTCCAAGAAGAAAAAAGGTAGGGCACGGGTGCAGCTGCCCTGAAGATCATTATAAGAAGAAAATTCCTCTGGAGCCAACTGGGAAAGCCGGAGATAGAAATGCAGAGTATTACAGAGGTACTGCTTTTAAGACTGTGTTATTAGGGGACTCCAGGTAGGTATGGAGCTGAGTAGAACTGTTTTACAAACATCTCCTGTTATGTGTTACTCTAAGGAATAATACCTGAAGTACGGGAACCTGCTCTGGTAATACTGGAGTACATTTTAGCAACGTGAGCTGAGGGTTGAGCTTTGGTAGTTTAGGGATATTGGTAATTAAAAGCAGTGAAAATAGATGTAAATCCAGTGGCACAACATGCTACGGAGGTGGGTATTTGTAGTTATAAAACTACAGTCCTGCATGAGCTTATAGCAAATCAGATTAAATTTAAGACTGCTAAATATTGCTATGGGAATTTATTTCTGTTGATGGGACTCAGATTGTTCTGTTTATGTGTGGTTTGGGTTCTGCTGGCTGATTTTATCAACATATGTTGAATAAATTTCTGCTGGTCATTTTAGTAGCAGTTGGCATGCAAAGCCATCTCCACCAAAAAGGTACATTTCACCCCTTAGCAAGAAAGAAGTGGACAAGCTGAAGGAAATAGATCTAGAGCTTGCCCACTGTCATGCAGCAGGTAAACCATTGCAGAATCTCCAAGCCCTGACTCTCCTGGCAAATGGGGAGTGCTGCCAATGCAAGGTACTGTGGCAAACCTTTCCTCGTCCAGCCTTCCTCAGCTATAAACAACTTTTTTACCAGTTCTGGTCCTCATCCAGCTTTGAGAGTCAGTGACGATAATCTGAGCATGCCAAGTCTGGCCTCAGCAGATTTTCTTGTGAAATAAAGAACACAGTGTGATATGCAATTTTCTTCTGAATTCTTTGAATATGTGTCCTGGAATACATGGCTTCTGCTAACAGTTCTGCTATCAGCACTGTTTTCTGCATTTGACTCCCCTTCCCACTTGTATAACTGCAGTATTTTATAGGGAAGTTGTTAACTGGTTATTTTCCATTCTAGTACTCTAGCAAATTGTAGTAGGTTTGAGTTGATATTTCAAAATTAGATTTCTACCTTCACAGCTAATCCTACGAGAAACTAAGCATTCTTGTAGGAGGTATGAAACCAGTGATGTTCTGGGTGCTCAGCACATTACTGAATAAGGCCTCATTGGAAGGATATCCAGCCAAAGTTGACAAACTTGTAAATACAAAGTGCCCCGGTTTCATTCAAAAAGCTACTTGTACACAAACAAACAAAGTCAGGAAAAAAAATAACTTGTTTCTCAAACTATTTTTAAAAATTCTGAGAAGCTAGTAATTTCAAAAAATTTCAGGGAACACTTGAAATAAGTCATGACCACTAAGATTTTGTTTTATTTTTTTTTCTTTTTAATATGGCTTATACATATTGTGGTTACTTTTTCTGCGATTTATTCAGAACATATTCGTTATAATGCTTCTCTGTACTTTTATCATTAGCCTGCATAGATATTTCAACTACAGAGAAAAGACATCTCATTGTGGTAATAGCACTCAATTTTGCCTTCTCCTTAATGGTTTTCTTCTTTTGTGTTATTCCCATACATACGTGATTCAAAGCATTTGTGAGATGACCTCACTTTTTTTTTTGTTGTTGTTTCATTTTGATCTTGTTTTCCTGGCTGAGAGGATGTGTGTCACTTGTGTTTTGAAATGAACTCTGGTAAATACAGCCGCTTCTTGAAAAGATCAGTGCTCCTATTTGAGCATGACTTTGCCATAAATATGCAAGTGGGAAGAAAACTATGAAGACTTGTCGTGTGAGCAACCCACGGGCTCAGTCTTTTCTCCTCATTACTGCACAGTCCTGCTTCTGGATCCTTCCTCGCAGAGCACATGACCTACCTCCCAGCCGTACAGGACACCGAGTGCCAAAGAAGGGTAATTGTATTATAAGACTTTTTAATTCCCCAACTTACTTCAGCTGTTATCAGCAGCTGGTTACTTCAGCTAGCTGATATGCCTCGGTGTCTTGTAAACATTCGGTCTAGTACTGTGCATTACTCATAGTTGGAAAATCACTTTGACTCCTGTAGCATAATTATGTTAATGTCAAATGAGTCACAGGGAAACAGAAAACTTGTATCAGAGCTGCACCTTAGTGCCAGTTTCTGAATGCTCCTGTTGGCATGATAGAAGTAGGTTAGGGGATTTAGGGGAAAAAACAACTTTCATTTAATGAGTGATTTGAAATTATGATAATAATGATTCATAAGGAAGCTGCGCGACAACCAAGTTCAGATTCACTGAAACATAACATTGGTAAGAGAATAGCCTGCCTAATTATTTATAAGAGCAAGAATGAAAAGTACTGAATTTTTAAAGAATTACTTTTCCAGGAAAACTTCACAGATATGTTTCGCACATAAACAGCTTTTCACATTCATTATCTAGTTACGAGGGCAGTCTAATTGACATCTTAATTAGATGACATTTCAGAGTTAAGCCCCTCTGATGTTTCATTAATTTTACCTTTCTTGGTTTAGTTAATGCAAGTGATCATTCAGGAAAAAAAAAGCGATACTTTTTCATCTCACTTTTGGATCATAATACAAAAAGCCGGAAGCTCTTCAACAAGCTAAAAGTTCCTGTAACATAACTTGTCCTAACTGAAAGCAGACGAAGGGACAGCAAGGGCAGAATTCATTCCAGAGTTAAAAGACACAGGGACATACATGTGTGGTACACTGACCATCTCAGGACTAAGCTGAAGCACTTTTTCTCAGAAACATAGAGGCAAGTTACTCTGGTATTTGCCTACCAGGATTTTACATGCTCAAACATATATCAATATTCCCACGTGCCAGCCTGATGAATAGGATATACCATCTCAACGTAAACAGAGACTTTTTTTTTTTTTTGAGATGGTTGAAACATCATTCTCTGGACCCAAGAGTTTTAGTATTCTGACAGACTCTACTGTGCTATTTAAGAAAAAGGTTCAAACCTAAGCAAAAGGCAAAAGCTGAAATGAAAATTATAACCAGATAATTTAAGTCAGGAAAAAAAAATCACTCAGGGCAACGTAATAAAAATCTCTGTGGATAAGTAACTGCCTTTACCTTAATGTTCTATTTGAGAAGAAGACAAGACTTACATTTCCCTGGGAGCTCCATCTCTCTGAGCATTTCCCTTTCATCTGTTGTCTTCTCATCTCATGCCTTTTCTGACTTCTCTCCACTTACCCTAGAAACTGTTAATAAGTTAAATCTCACATGTCCCATAAGAAACCAACTGTTGTTACTAAATTGAGTGGAAATATAAGGTCATGCCATAGGTGACTAAGTACACTCCAGATTTCCCTACGAGCCATGATCTAAATATGATGCCACAGCATCATCTCGACCTTATACTGAGTGAGGGGCTTTATTTCAGAGCACATCCCCGACCCAGAGATAACCTACTATGGCCAACATCTACAGTTTGAAACTCTCAGCTCTTGGCTGAGTTAAAATTGTAGTTTTTTATGTCAAACATTTTCATGCCTGATGTATCGGTGGAAAATCTTTACTGTAGTACTTCCGGCTCCTGTGTTTCACATAGAAATATATAGCGAATACATCAAGGACTTATTACTCTGTGAATTAGCATCGTTTTATTAACGATGTGCGTTTGTGGTCAGCCCTACAGAGGCGGACAGACTCTGTCCATGCGATGCTGCTGCCCTGGGGCAGGACCTGGCATTTCCCTTCCCCCGTGTCCGTGACACTCCCGAGTTCCCAGGCCCCGGGGAACAGCTCTGGGGAACCGGAGCCACAGAACCGTGAGCGGCGATGAAGAAAAGAGCTCCGCACACCACCCGGGCGGCAGCATCAGCCCAGGCCGATCGGGGCTGAACCGCCCGGGAGAGTCTGACTTGGGGTCAGACCTGCACCCTGGGAAACTGGGAGCTCTCACCGAGGGGTCATTGTCCCCGCCAGCCCTTCATTCAGGACGGCGCTGCGGGTCTGTGCGGGGTCTGTGCGGGGTCTGTGCGGGGTCTGTGCGGGGTCTGTGCGGGGTCTGTGCGGGACAGGTCTCGGTCCCGCGCCCCCCCCGGCCGCCCCAGCTGCGCCCGTCCGTCAGTGCCGCCCCCCCGGGCGGGGCCGCCCCGCGCTGCCCCTTTAAGGCAGCGCAGCCCCGCGCGCATTCCAGCGGCCGCGTCACCGTTCCGGGAAGCGGGTGGCGTCATCCCGCCGCCCCGTCATCCCGCGGCGAAAGGGGCGGGCGCTCGGAGACAAAGAAAGAATTAAAAATAGAAGGTGAGGGCGCGGGGAGCGCTGTGACCGGCGGGCGGGGCCGCGGCCCCGTCGGCCGTGACGTCACGGCGGGCGCGCGCCTGCGCGGCCCCGCGGGGCCATTTACGGGCGCTCCCGGGGGGCAGGTGACGTCATGCGGGTATCGCGTCACGTCACGTGCGCGGGGCTCGGTCCCCGCATCCCCCTTCAGGGAGCGCGGGAAGGGGGAACCTGGTCCCGGTCTAGCCCTGATCGCCCTCCGGAGCGAGGAGCCGCGGCTGCGGCGCTGGTTCCGGCCCACGGCCCTGCCTCTGAGTCATGGAAGGGGCAGCAGCTCCGGGTGGATTTATGGCTCACGAGACAGAGAGGAGGGTTCTTTGTGCGACACCTGGATTCCCCTATATTTGGCGTCAGCAGTGGAGCCGGCGGCGATGCTTAGCCCCCCTTTGTGGGGTGCTGTGTGAGAGGATAACTCTGTGTCACACTGAGAGCAAGAGCAAACAGCAAAGCCTGGTGCTCTCGCTGCATACTGTGTGCTCTCCCAGTAGAGAAAAGCAATGTGTTACCCGGGGGGATAGTTTCTACGCCCACTGGAATGTGACATTCCCCACAATTATTACATAAGTGTCATGTCAAGGATGCCATTGATATTACGATCCTTCTCTTAACTACAGCATGACAACAGTAGCTTATATCTAGAATCTTAAAAGGATGCTGTTTCATTTCTATTCCAGTTGCCAAGGCCGTCTCTGTCAAGAACAGCCTGAGGATGTTCTGTAGCCTTTGTGGTCATGTACTCTCTCTGTGAAGGACTGGCCTTGTCTCTTGTGGCTTTTTTCTAAGAATCAGATAATCTGAAAGGGTATTGGGCCACACATGCAGACAGTATTTGGTAGATGAGGCTTACACACTTGTTACTGTAACTCTATGTGTTTCAATATGAAGCTGCTGGGTCCTTTTGATCCCTTCTCCATGTGGCTTTTTGTGCGTGTGTGAAATTGTGCATAAAAGTTGGTGACTGTATGTCTGTTGCTTTCTGTAGTCTGTCCAGGCAGCTTGAATAGATCTTTAGCTTGAGTTGCCATTTTCTCAGCTTGTTTGAGTACAAGGAAAATGTTGTGGGCCATGTGAAACAAGGAACTACATCATCAGCAAGTAGCTTCTGCTACACTAGTCGCTGTGAGCAGGTAAAAGACATAGAAAAATTCACTAAGAGTTATGCAGTAAACACCAAATAAAGGTTCTTATAAAACACCTCTGAAGTAGCTTGAAATTTCTTGACGGCAAAATGAGCGTGCCAACTTCTGTCCCCATGTGGCTGTGTCTGCATCAGCATGCGGTTGCTCTTAAGCTTTCATTTTATGTGAAAGGTAAAATTGTTAGACCAAACCTAGACTAAACTAATCCGAACTAATCTGTACTAACCTGAATTAAATCTCAAGTGCGAATATTTTCATTCCACAGTTTAACCAAGTAGTTAATTTGAGATTATTTCCCAGTGGTTTTGGACAGGCTTAGCCAAAGTCTTGACTGGAAAATTGAAGGAAGTAGAGATTCAGCCCTTTTTGTGTGGCAATGCACTAGAAAAGGCAGTGAAGTGTTGCCAATCCTTCTTTTTCAGTCTTTCTTTGTGATAAAGCAGCCATGTTTGCAGAGGTTGCATATCCCATTTAAAGGGCTTTGTTGTGCAGTGTAGTGATGGTGGTGCAGTACAGTGCAAACTTGAGCTAAATAGCGCTGTCCCAGAGCATTCCAAGGGAGGGGGGTGTGATTAGTAAAGGGTGGCTGTGTCTCCTATTAGACTGAGTCATGGAGAAATAGAAGAGAGAAGTGTGCAAGCTTACAAGGAATGCAAGCCTTTCTCCTTCAAATGCTTTTAAAAAAATGAAATTCCAGAAGCCTGTATCAATGAATTTTTTCTGTTCCTAAAATCAGGATGATAAAGCTGTTCTCTATCAAAAACCTGAATTACTTCATTAGCTTTTGGAAATGTAATAGCTGCTACTTTTCTGTTAAGCTCTTTCTCATTACATGCTACTAGGAATATACCTGTTCAACAAAATGGTGTTTGGGCCAATATAGTTGCTGGAAGTACAACACAGCAGCCCCAGGATACATTGCCAGTTCTGGAGATAACACTGCATCTCTTCTGAAGGGGGCATTTGCAAGGCTTACCTCATCATTTAGTCACCTGGATGACTGTATGCTGACAAGGAAACAGGCTTTTGTATGAGCTACCAGAATATCATTGCAAAGCTTACTGTAACTTGAAGAAAAAATCTGTACTGAGTGCACATCTTTGCAGGTGATGTATCCTATACTAGAACTTCCCTGCAAAATAGTTAAATAATCCTCTCGTCCTGGAAAAAGAGGCCTGTGACTTGAAGTGAAGCTTTCCTGGAATTTTCCATTTGCCCTTCGTGGCTTTCAGGTGGTGCCCTGTCAGAAACAATCTTCCTGGAAGTTTATGAGTACTGAGCAGTATCAGACTATGTATGAGTCTTGCATAATAAATGCCCTCTACAGCAGAGCTATGGATTCTACTCATTCCCATCCCATAATGTGATACATTTGTTTTCAATATACTGAATGTCCTCGTGGATGGGATGAACCCAAAATGCTACCAGGCATTGGAATGGGCCTGTCAGCAGCCGGAGAATATTTTCACAAAGCACTCCAATTAAACCAATAGAGTACCTCCAAAACATAAGCCCAGAGCTTAACTTTTTTAACTCAGGTGAACGCTTAAAAACTGTGGTTTCGACGGAAACATGAATTTGACACCTAATTTTGTCATTATTCTTCCTGTCAGCTCTTTGCTTTCACACAGGTAATAATTAACAGCTGTTCTTTAAGTTCCCTTTTATCTGAAAACATCTGGCTTTTTAACATAATAAAGGTGTTTTAATTCTTATGAGACTTATGAAGGTCCATGTACATTTAACAAGTTAGATCTATTGATCTGATGAAAAAAGCGCACCATATATTTTCTATTGCCTTCTATCTCTGGAAACCATTTTCAGGGCAAACTAGAAGGAGTTTCTGGTGGAAGTTGGATGTATGTGTTCCCTGACTCAACAGGGCTCTTTGTTTTCAAGGAATAGAAATAAAGAGTTTCCTTTAATTATAAGCCGGAGGGCAGAGAGAAAGGAGGGGTGATTTCTGTTTCTCAGTATGATGTTTGTGATTTAGTTCTGCCTGGAGGAGTTGCAGTTTTGTTGCTAAATTATAATTGCACCTTTCCTGTGGCTATAGAGGAGATTTGGCAATGTTACACTTCTGATTTGTGGGAGCTCTCCAAAAAGGTAAAGAGGAGTTTCTTCTGTGACTTGAACATGCTACTTTCCTTCACAATCATGAGGATTTCCTTTTGGTATGAACCAGGGCTGAATGTCAAGTCAGTTCTTGCAGTCTGGCTTTTTTGTTCTGGAGAAAACATGATGCATTTGAAATGTATTTGAAATATCATTTTCTCATTAGATCGTTATGTTATGCAAGGTGGAGAATGGCAGTTACCCTTAAAGCTATTTATTACAATTTATTACACTGTGGTTGTGAATCTAATGAGGGAAGATGGGATTCAAGAAGGGACATGATGAAAGTTTTTGTAGAAGTGGGCATAGTTGGGATGATGAAGGTTTATGAGAACATTAATGTTTTAAAAAAGTTTACAAATCCCTCAGTGTGTACAGTTCTTGATCAGGCGCAGACACTAAGTCAGTATCCTGTAGTTTTCTTCATGGAGTCTCCTGTTTTTCTAGCAATGCCAAAGTAAAGAATTCATGGCTTTTTGAGAAATGAAGGAGTCACCTTATCTTATTCCTTGGATGATAACAGCAGAATTATCAGTGATCGTGATGATTCCTTTTTTCATGTAGAAAAGTGTATTTAAGATGTGAGCAAGAAACTTAGGATATGTGCAGTCTACCACAGGGTGTTTTAGGTAAGTTGTTTAATGCTTTCTGACAAAGATAGATAGTATGTTTTGTGTATCAGAGCAATGTGGTGAGCATAACCTTAAGACTGTTTATTATGCCAGTACCTCAGATAAATAGATATTGCACATTAAAGGCTTTACCCATTTTTTTGACCTTTTACTACTTTCTGCAGCATCTGTATGAGCTGAAACAATATAGCTATTCACAGACTCTGCTGTAGTCTAATAGTCTCACAAATCTATTTATTCCATTTGTGGCATTTGTTACTTGATTGAAAATTTGAATAACTTATCCACAAAGTTACCTTTTTTATTCCTATTCACAAATCCCCGTAAGAGTTAAAAACATTCAGCTCTAACAAATTTTTTGATGGTTTACTGTGAATTAATCAAAGTTTAATTCATATAGTAAGGCTATCATAGCTTTTTATTTAACAATAAACTTCTTAATAAGTCTCTTAATTTCCAGTTGACATTTTGTCTATTGACCCAGTCCATACACAAGGTCAGTGCAGGACTGTTGCCTGGTAGCATTTATCATGACAGAATAAATGACAGAATTTACAAACTTTTTGTTGTTGCCACCGCTGTTTACCAACAGTGCAACTTGAAATTTTACATAAAATGTGATTCACAAGATTCAGAAATAGATTAAGCCCTATTGCTGCGTTCTCCATTCTTTCCTGTCCTCACTCGCCTCACTCCCCACCCCCAAATCAAAGTTTCCAAGGCTGTAAAGTCAAAATGTTTCAGATAAATCTTCTTGGTGCTGCTCAGGCTCTTTGAAACTTTTTTTCAGTTCTGTTTGTTTCTTTAAAAACTTCTTGTCACTTCCTCTGTATCCACTGGGTCTTTTTTTTTTGTTTGTTTGCTCCAGAGTGATACTTGCCTTTATCTAGGAC